TAATTTATTAGGTTTTAATTGGATTTGAAACTCCTAGATCTTTTGAGATTCATTGAAATTTTCAATGGCATGTTTAAAACTCGATTGTTCGCTCTCAAGTTTTGTGACTGGGATATCGAGGATCACAAAACAAGGTGTGAATAACCATGCAAATATACTTGGTACCCTTATAATTTATCACTCAATCGATGTGTCGGTTAACCACACGCGCTCCACCGATATTATGATAAACATTAAGTTACCCTTTTCCTACCTTGTTAAATCAAGTTAGTGTGCAGGTTAACCACACACGCTCCACTAACCGACTTAAGCAAAGTGCAAAGTGTAATTTCACGGGTTAGCACCAAATTCACATTTTCCTAAGTAACTAAGATTGGAATTCATAATGGTTTAGTTACTTAGTATTTATCATTAATACGTTTAATGAAGGTAGAATTCTAGTCCTTGTTCTACCCATTCGACTAATGACCCTCCACCAGTCAAGGAGGCAGTGGGTGAGAGTGGACACCAATTAAACTGCCATTTTATATGCAGTAACCTTATACCCCCATTATAGACCGTCTTCATGAATGAGGTCTACTAACGGTAAAACTGACTTTGTTCTTATATATATATATATATATATATATATATATATATATATATATATATATATATATATATATATATATATATATATATATATAACTATTAACTTTTAATATTATAATAGTATAAGGGTTGAATTTTAACTTTTAAAATTCTAAGGGCTTAACATGGAATTCAAGTATTCATGAGGGGAAACTTTACAAATTTCAAAACTTGATGGCAAGTTTTGACCATTTCAAGAACTTTTCAATTCCATAACTTATGTGTTTGAAGTAGTTTTAATGAAAAACTCTTCAATTTCCATAACTTGAAGACAAGTTATCGAAGACTTTAAAACATTTAAAAATGAGACTCTCCATTTTTCATAACTTATGGAAATCTTATGAGTTCTTAAGAATCATAAATGTGACTTTTCATATAACTTGAGGACAAGTTACAAAAACATATTTTATGAATAACTTTTAGATCAATTTGGATTGAAAACACGTTATCACATAATTTTTCTGTTATTTTAAGTAAACTCATAAGAACAAGATAATTCAAATCAAACAATTTTCATGTAATTAGCCTAATCATTAAACTAATATAAAACATGAGTCTATTGACAATTATCTTTTGAATTGGATTAGAATGGACATTACCACATCAAAATCAGGTTTATAGGCTCAAAAACAGCTTAAGGTAATGATTTTAGTCCAATTCCAACCTTAAAAGTCGAAAATATGCTGTCAGGGGCTCCTACTCGTCGAGTTTATGAACCTACTTGACGAGTAGGATGATTTTCTTCATGGACTCGACGAGTCCAGTGCCAAGACAACTAGAAAATCGATTTTTTTCAGCTTTGTTAGCAATTTGCATCAAGTATAATTGAAAACAAACCTAGGCTCTGATACCACTGAAGTGTTTTGAGCATTTTAACACTCCTAAGGTGTATATGCAACCCTAAATACCTTTGATCTATGTTTTCTCTATTATACATGCAAATATAAACATTCCAAGGTATTGTTCTAACGAGCATAATATGAAGTACATATAAGATACATATCAATAACAATTTGGGTTTAGACATCTAATCCAACAATTATTATTATTGCTAACAGTTTCTCAATACTGATTCTACACTAATACATAATATTTATCACCAACCCGCTAATGCATGGTCAGAGAAAAGGTCAACAACAACAAGAATGTCCCTGGTGGCCTGGTGATACAAAAATATCAAAAAGACATTGTTTTATCCTAAAATTATATACTACACTGAAGATAAGATGGTAAGTTAGGTTAATGACTTCCCATGAAAGATAATTGGAGGAGTGATAGCAGTAAAAAAAATATAAAACGACAGCTAATTTTAGGGCGTACGAAAATGTGCATCCTAAATCCTTCAAATTTTATAAGAGATGACACTTTTCTTATGACACCCATATTTGTGTACCATAATCCAGTGTGTATCATAGTTCATGTCTCACTAAAGGCATTTATTCTAGTAGTGTGTGGAAGACACAATTTGTTGGTTATTTGAAGATTATTTGACCAATAGTAGACTATGAATTTTTCAAGTGGAGGATTTTTGGAAATAGGTATCCTATGTCATAACTAAATCAGTATAACTTTGGGAAAAATAACAAATTCATTTTTGGATTGCCTCAAGAGCTAAAAGAGATAAAAAGGATTTAAGAGTGTGAGATAAATAATTTAGTTTTGAATTAATTAGCATTAATTCGGAATTGATTAAAGGTGCAGAGACCGAATGTTAATTGTTTAAAAGTTGAACAAGAGGAACATTATGGAACTCCAAAAGCGTATGGACGGTTATGAGGACTCTTGGAGGCTTCCAAAATCAATCAAAGTAATAGATAAGTAGAGGGTTTGAATGTAGATTAAATCTACTTTTGAAGGTTCATATCGATCGGATACACTTCAAGTATAAAAAATGAAAGTAAAACTTAATCTAAGAAAATAAAGTATAGAAAGTAAATTAAACAGAGACTTCTCCAAGTTGTTCTTTCACCATGAAAGGGTTTTGTGTTCACCAAGAAGATGGGTTATCACAAGGACAATTGATACAAAGTCGAACTCTCTACATTTAGGTTTAACCTAATGTAGATCATATACTAATCTATACATGTGAATCCCATGAATTAAGGGATTATATCTTATCTCTACAAAGAACCAATCTTCATAACAATTATATTGGATTTTTTATCTATGCTATACTTATATATATCATTATGTAATATACAAATGATTACATAGAATAACTATATTATGCACTGACGCAGATAAGGTTGAGACACTAGCGTTGGTAGTCAAGAAGATGCTGACACTGATAGATGTGTAGAGTGTTTGAGTCATCATGCCATAAGGTGTCCTTACAATATCCGCTTATATGATGATGTCAAAACTAAGCATCTTTAGAGTCATTAGAAGAGCCATTGTAGAACTTTTTCAGCTTCTTTCAAGATCTCAGGCGTGACCCATCTAAATTGATCAATTTTATGTTCATCCAGCCTTCTACAAACCTCCAGAGATATCAGCACGCAATATCCTATTTCCCGTTCATAGTGACTAAGTCCTTCGAAGCAAACATGAAACAAATGTTTGGTAGGAGTAGAAGGAAGATTATCAGTGCCTTGAAATAACATTTGATTCTGATTATCAAGATAAAATATCCCATGCTCCGGTTATGGAATGAACATGTATTGGACTTGTTCAACACCTGTTGGTAATTCAATGCTAATGTATCGAGTGCCATAAGGAAGAAGTACCTTTGTATTTTTGGACTGTCTGGGAGCACTTGTTCTACTTGAGGAGGAAGATCTATATGGACTTGTTGATGGCACGAGGATTAGCCTCTTGACTTTACTGAGCAACTGCTAAATTGCCAACTTCACTTCATGAGCATGAATACCGTTGTAATTGTCAATGATTTCTTCAATTTGAATCCACTCATTGTAGCCAAATTTTACTAGCTCACGAGCAAACACAACTTCAATGTACTCATACTCATTTTCCTTCCTGACCAGATGAAGCTTTAGTGACTTGTTTCTCAGTTTGGTGCATCTTACTTTGATAATAGGATCAAACTTTGATCTACGAGTAAGAACGTCTCCAAACTTTCTCTTGTCTATCCGGTCATTCAGGTCTGAAACCTAGTGATGTTTCTTCCACACTGTTATTGAAATTTGTAATTTTCTTGACTTCATCATTAGAACTTTTATCAGTGAACGCAAGGGCTTAAACAAGTATAGCAGAGAAACACTCTTCTTTTCTATCTTCTTTCTTCTATTGAATAGCAACATTATTCTGCATCATGATCTCCCTTACTTCATCAATAGATAACCTCCATGTTGCAGCTAACTCATTTAGATCAATGATGATTTTGCTTTTCTTAGAGGTAAGGGATGCTAAAGAATCATCAGCGACAGAACTTCCAGCTTCAATGTCATGAGCTCCCTATGAGGATGAAGACTTCTCCTTTCGAGGATTGAGATGATCATCATCATAATCCATATCACTATTATTTCCTTGAGGAACCTCCTACTTAAATTATGAATCAGTGTGGACGACATTCAAGCAGCAGCTTGTGGTGTGAAACCAAGGTCAATAAATCCTTCAACGTCGTTGGTTACGGATTTATCACCAGTTTCTGGAATGGGATGATCAGTTATTGTATCAACCTCTAGTATATTTGCAACAATAAGGTCTTTTTGAAGATTAACCCTTCAATTTTCAGACATCTCAGTCTGAGATGAAGTTGGTGAAATTACCACCATGTTCATTTGCTGATTAGAAAACGCTTGATTATTCTTCTCCTTTTTGGTAGCATCAGATTAGGGAGGAGAGTTAGGAGGAGGTGAATAAGTGTAAGGAAGAGGATGAGATTGTGGAGGATGTGGTGGTGGAAGATTAGTTGGTGGACGTTCAGGTGTAGGTGGAGGAGGGTTATCACCTTAAGAGTTTGGTGGACTTTCATCAACAACCATATAATAATTACATCATCATCATCAACAACAACAACAACCAGGGCCATAATTCGCTTCATCACATCTACATATATTTCAACTTTAGTCAAATTTTAATCCATTAATTGTGTTAAATGCATATTTAAAGAGAGTTGAGAAAGCACAACATTTTGAAAGTTGAAGTTGGATTCTTCCTTATTATCTTGATGAAAACAAGTAGACTTGATAGGAGTTGGCGTAGGAGGAACATTTTTAACATGAGGAAAACGAGATATTGACTTGTCTTGGATCATTGGCTCAATAGTTTCAACAAAAGGAGAGATTGATCCATGATGAACAGCAACATCTATAGAGGAGTGGATGAAGAAGTAGATGAAAACAGAATGTGCTTGTTCATCCTTGGAGGAGAGTTCATTCCCTGAGCAGAGTCTTCTACCTTATCAGTGGCTAGTTCTTCTTCATCTTGATCAATGTTTTCTTCTTCATCACCCCCTTCTTAATACCAACACATTCCTCATAATCATCCTCACTAGCATCTTCATCAATGTCTTCTTTATCATTATCCTCATCATCCTCTTTAGAAACTGAGGATTCAACCACATAGGTTTCTCAATCCATCTTTGAATCCTCATAGTAATAGCCAAATAACCTTCCAATGGAGTGACATTAATGATCCTAATGGAAAGACAATGAATTTGAATGATAATCCCAGGACTTTCAACATAACCTTCCTTACGAGATAAGATCAGTCCAAGCCAACATGTGTAAGGAACATACGTTGGCGTCTTGTTCCCAAAGATGCAGTCAATCACTTGATCAAGAAAAAGTTGAGCAAAAAATAGCATTTTTTTGTACACACTAGAAAATAATATCATTTTCTCAAAGAGATACAGCTGATCCAAACTCCCAGTCTTGTGTCCAAGATATTTTCCATTTACAATTGTTAAATACTTCCATACTACATTAAAACATTGATGAAGAGTGTTCTTGAAGGCATCTCGAGTGAGCCCCTTAAGTTCAAATTTATACCCAATGTTTTAATGAATAAAGTTGCAACTTTCTTCTGAGGGGGTTTCATAGTAATCTTCAAATTGAGGAAGACGACGAGTAGTTCAAAAGGATTCCACATCAATGGTAATCCTATATTGGCCATCTCCAACGGTTCCAGTAACGGGTTGAGCATTAGAAATAACAGAGCATGAGTAGTAGAACTCGCATACCATTTTAGGATATAACGGGTCTGGAAAATCATAAAATATATATCAAAGAGGACCACTCTTAACATATTTAACAAACTCTTCGATTCCTAAGTTTGCAAACTGCTTTGGGATTTCATCAGAAAATGCCACATTCTTTGCTTAAATAATAGGAGAGACAAGGGTAGGAGGACATTTGATGACATTTTATCTAAGGACAAACTTGTACAGAGGCTTTGACATGGTGAAAGCTTTGAGAGAGAAGATGGATGAGAGATTCTTTTTCAAGAGAAAAGCGCTAATTGCTTGAATAGATTGTAAAAGTGACCTACGATGAAAAATATCCAATTTATACCAAAAAGATGTCTTCCTGTTTACATAATCATGAATGAAGTATATGTGACGTACAAATCTAGTGTCCCAAGATAATGATTGATCTTTCAGTCATCATCCAAAAAGTTAGTGTTGAAATAAGTTAGACATGTCATCAGCGGTAATGAATACCAATGTAAGCAATCAGCAAGTGAATTTATGATGGTCACCCAGTAAGTTTGTGATGCCTCCTGATAGTGTGGACTTACATTACCATTCACCAACATTGTGAGATTTCATCAGCATGTGGTTTTATACGCTAACTCATTAATCACTTTTATTTGAAGAAAAGGGCAAGAATGGTATGATACTAGTGATAAGCTATGGTGTTTTAGCTTAACCATCGACATAAATTTGTCAAGCTCTCATCAGCATATGGTACATTGCGCTGCATCATAAAGCTTTAAAGAATAATATAAGGGAAAGAATGGGTTAGTGCATGTGATAGCCTATGGTACATAGACTAACCTTCGACACAACGTTTCAAACTTTTACTTTTATCGGTGTGTGGTATATCACAGTGAATTGTTAAGTTTTATTGAGAAGAATTTGAAGGAAATAATGGATTGTCCCAGTCACATTGAGGTGTAATCAACATGAATCCGAGACAGTTTAACTCATCAACAAGAAGTGGTTTAAACTTCTGTATCGTAGATTAAGTTGCATCTAGAATCAAAGATTTATTGTTAACTAATAATGGTACCATGTCATACCTCATACTAGGAGGTCAGGGACATTAACAACCTATTCTCATTTAAGGAACAAACAAGTAACTCTTATGTTTATGATTGTGCAATGAATGTAAGCCATTGGGTTATGCTCAATGCTTTAGCAGAACATGAGACTTGATGCAAAAGACAAGCATGCTTCCACGGACAGGGTTAAGTAAGATAGTTAACTAAATATAATCACCCAAGCGATTCTATCAATTTTTATTTAGACCAGGAAATCTCACTTATAATGTTTAGACAATGCTAGACTATCAGCGTGAGGGGGTGACTCAATGTTCTCAGCAGATGGTCTCGCTGATGAGAAATTTAGAGATGTAGTCATATATAGCAACATGCTTCTAAGGACGATGATGTGTCAGAAGTTGCATGCTAGGCTTAGAATAGCTTCCATCAGATTCCATTAGAAAATAATATACAAATACAAACAAAAGATTTAGTCAACCAAGAAAGTATTCTAAACAACAAAATATGTGCAACTTTTTCAGAAAGGTGATAAAGACTCGTTCCATCAAATCCTTAGAATTGAATGGTCATAAATGCATTTCTGTTTTTCGAGATATCTACCACTTGAATTTTAGCAATAAAATAGAACAAAACAAGATCAACCATATCACACAAAAACACAATTCATGGTAAACAAATAGAGAGAATGCCTTTAATCGTTGAGAATTTGCAGATTGATTCCAGGCTTCATGTTTACCAAGAACAAAAGATTAACATGAGCCAGTCTTTGTAACCAACGAGTTAGAAGGATCCAATATTTGTAACCTTTGAGTTGTTAGAGTCACCAAGACGATACTCGAAGGTTTACATTCATTGTGATCCACGAAGGAATAGAAGGTGGGGTCACTATCTTGTTAAAAATGCCTTCAGATCTGTGAGGTGATGGAGAGTTAATGATGACAACAATGGAATTTTAATGTGCGATGTCACCAAACTCCACTTCATCTCACTACAACTGAAATAGACTATTCAAGAAAGAATAGATATGTATCCAGAAGAAAACTTTGTGGCACAGTTATCCCCCATCTTGTCTCATTAGCATGAGCATCAACGTCAGTGAGAGGAAATTGGTGTTGAAGAAAGGATGTAGAGTCAGCGTCAACTAGCTCTTTTAAGGAGAGGTGATGCATTCAAGGATTAACACGCCGATCTTAATCAGTCATGATCAATGTTAAGATGGAGATAGAAGGTCCTGACACATACTCCTTTGGTAAAGTAATAAAAACAATTAATTCACAAAAAAAAAATAATAAACCAAAAGTGTAGCAACTTATGTTTAGAAATTTAAGAGTAGTAAAGCACGAAGCAAAAAAAAATAAAAACAAAGTATCAGTGTCTACGTAAATAAATTGAAACCATATAAATATTGTTGTTCCTTAGTGTAGAAAGAACAATTTTGTTCGTCTTGGAATATTACTGGTGAAACCAATGTGTTGGACTCGACATACATCTCTGACTTCATATCCAATGCCTTACCACAAGTAACTTTATCCCAAATGGATAAGATGAGCATTGAATAACTCACCATGTGACGTCATGCGCACATGGTGTGATCCATGGCCTATCATGTGGGGTTTGATAGATGGTACAAAACTTAACTTGAAGAGGCTCGAGGGCGAGTAGCCATGGCCTTCATAGAGGGATCTGAGTATAATGCTAAATATTAGGTTCCCAAAAAAATACAACAAGAGGAACATGATCGCTTGGTTTGTCAAGTTTCCAACATAGAACTCAAAGTAGCAAATCTTCGTGCTAACGATAATGAGTTAAATGGTCGACTCCCCCAATCAAGGACTGATATAGGTTAGATGCATCAAGAAGGTATCTCCAAATCTTTTGATAAATCCATATGTTTGGAGACATTTGGGAGAAATTCAAAAAGAATTTACAAATCATATATTGATTATGGCATAGAGGAAAGATGCAGATTAATGAAAGAAAAGTATGGATTCCATATCCTAGATCATGAGATGTCGAATGGGTATGTCAAAGAATTATAACATACGCTAACCGCATTTTCCAAAAAAAAAATTATATGGCATCATCTGGACTGGACCGATCAATTTTTTAGGCTTTTAAGGCCTCTTTGATTGAAGATGAAGACTGATATGTGCCTTTTCTAGCTAGAAATTCATTTCTAACCTTCTATGTCTTATTATCTATTCCCTTAACTATTCAAGTGTCTTTTTTCATTTGTAATGAATGTTTCTAATTTTTTTATTTGGTATTTGTTATTTGTAAAAATTATGATAACTGTATCATATGTGTGCTCTTAAACGTATGGGAAGAGAGTATGGTACATGTCTTCCTCCTATAGGGATGAGTTGTGTAATGTGTAATGTTCATACTCTCTCATGTTATCGATAGTAACGTCTAGGTTATTTGGATAACACAAGGATGTTTTTCTTTGCTAGGTGTGAAGGTCACCCTAAATATGTCTCATGTGATCAATAATATGGAATTGAAAAAAGGTGGCAGATAAGTTATATTACGAGATAATAAGAGAAATTGCTAAAATTGATCACATTCAAAAGTTTATTTTTGAAATTTTTTGAAAGCAGTCAAGTGTTGAAACTCAAACATGCAAAGTAACAAATGTAAATAAAGGACACAAGTACTAGAGTTCAAATTTAGACATGCAAGAAACAATAAATAACATAAATACCAAAACTTTTGAATGAAGATGAATATAATTCATTCTGGAAGTTATATTTCCTTATGTTTATGATGTTCCATGTACATGGCATTAGGGTACCTTGGAGTCTTTTGATCACATAAGACCTATTTTACAGAGATTTTATCACTTTGTAAGGAACTTCCTAATTCAGGATTATCTTACCCTGATCTACAGCTCTACACACTTCATTTCATCTAAGTTCTAAGTCCCCTACCTTTCAGGAACTTTCCTTGACATAATTGTTGTAGTACTTCTATGTCTAGGACATATAAGTTGCTTGTCTTAGAGCTGCTACCTCTTGCCTTTCATGAAGGAGATCTAGGTTTGCTCGTCAGTCTGTTTCTGATTCTTCTATGGTTAAAATGAGCACTCGGTCAGTTAGAAATCCCATTTTTTTAGGAAGAACAACTTTAAATTTGTAGACAAGGCTAAATGGTGTTTTACCAGTAGTGGTCCTACCTGTCATTCAGTATGACCATAGAAAACTAGTGATCTTGTCAAACCACAATCCCTTGGCCTTGGCTAGCCTTGTTTTTAGCCCTTTGGCAATGGTTCTGATAGTAACTTCATTTTAACCATGAGCATGTGTGTATGCTACGAGGTGAACTTCTACTCTATTTTCATATTTATGCACCACTGCTTGAAAGGAATTTTTTGCAAGCTGCTTATCATTATCCCTTAATATTGTATTTGGCATGCTGAACCTACTAGTTATATTTTTCCAGAAAAACTTGACATCATTTTTCCCTACTATCACTATAAGTGGCTCTACTTGCACTTACTTCGTAAAGTAGTCAACTTCTACTATCATAAATTTTACCTTTCCGAGCGCTTTTGAAAAGGGTCCAACCAAGTCCACTCTTCAT